TATATGATCTTTTTCTAATTTGGTCAAGATATTTATTTATTTATTTCAAATGGCAGGCGTTTTGATAGTTATCATTAGCCCTTTAGCTGACTTCGGGCTTCACAGGGGGAAGGAACATCAAAGTAACAGAAAGTCGAGGGGTGGGGAACAGAAGAGTGATTTACAGATGTAAAGAGACGGACATGAAGGCAGAGGAAAGGTAGGATGAGTACTGCGCCAGAAGTCAATCGCCAGTTAATAGACTTTTTTGCCGTATGAGTATACGTTGCCCAGGGTGCACCACGTGGAGGTAAGTCTATCGCGCACCCCTGGTCAAGATATTGGTGCTTATGTGTGTTCAGAGCTTTAGTGAAATATATTTTAATATTGACTTCTTAGTCAATTTCGATAATTAAAGATAAATGGGCTTTAATGCATTTATATACGATTTTAGCTACATATCATAAATTGTAATTAATTTAGAGCCTGAAATATAAACACTAAGTTTAGTGATGATCTGACATGAGCGCTTCCAACTTAACCTAATTTGCAAAGTGCACACGTGGTTTCCAATTGGCCTTGAGGGGAGAAACTACATAATAAATATCCATTCAAAAATATGCGCTTGACTGAGTTGGGTTCATGGTGTCTGCCGAAATGAAATAAAGCACAGGCGCCTGCAAAGCATTCATAGAGCTTTCTGAAAATTTTAAATAACACTAAATCGTGTTTTCACCGCTATGACCAATGCATTTACGCATATACATGTTTCATTGAATTCATGGAAGCCTTCTTTGAAAGGCCAGTTGAGAATATAATAATTTCGTCATTTTCACAATATTTTGGGTTAAGAGATTAAAACCGTAGCAACCATTGCAACAGCTATTACCAAACAATTGAAAAGGGCCAATTTGACCCGCAATTCAACCGTGCTGAGGATAAGTTCCCCTACAGCACCATTTGCATCAACTTGTGAACCACGACACATAAATGCTAAATGCCCATGATTGCAAATAGTGACCAATTTCTTCAATAGTACTATTAAAACTATCAATTTTTCATAAAATAAAATTAATAATAATATTTACTTTTCCGATAGGTAGAAACAAGGATTTGCTTCCGCAACTAGAATACAGCCCATTAGAGATACCCAATTCATTTTTATTATAAAATTCGCCTTTTCACAAGGGACTAAATTTTCAACACACACAAAGACGAGTGAACACATGCACACAGATTTCGCACATTAGCGCTGTCCATAGCCATAACCTTGTTGAGTCTGGGAGGTACCACTAGAGGACCCAGTGCCACCCGTTTGTCCACCAGGAGCAACTCCTTCATAAGAATGCCAGGAAGCTTGGGCGCCAGCTCCCGCAGCACCACCATAGAAACCAGCGGCTCCTCCAAATCCATAAGCAGACGTCGGCATCTGCTGTTGCTGAGCTGGTTGTCCGGCAGCAGAACCGTAAGCACTGGATCCAGTAGCGGCTGGAGTGCCTTTTGCGGTAGCACTCAGAGCAGCAGCATAAAAGGAATTGCCCCCTGCACCTGCCCCTGGAATAGTAGCGGGCGCCAGAGGTTTCGGGATTGTGTTTAATTGACTATCCAAATTTTCCCCATAGATGTAGTTTACAGATCCGAAGAGAGGGGAATAATCGTAGCTCTAAAAGTTTTCAAAGCCAAATGTTATAATGATAAAGAGCATCGTGTAAGAGCTAAAATATGTTATCCTTTCCTAAATCAACTTTACACAACTTCGAGAAAGTTAATGTACGATTCAGCTCAAATAACTATTAATATCAAAAGATGATATCATAACGCGATTTTGACCTTAAACAACATTAGCATTTATGGTTTAGAAATATGCACCAATTATCCACGCACTGATATACCACTGTTGGCTTCTGTAGGATTAAAAGAAGAGAAATAGAATTGACGGTAAATAGCAAACAATTTAAACGATTCAAATTTCTCTACAAAAACGAATTTCCGCACATCTGAATATGAGCAAGTAAGAAGTGCACACTGACCACAACATCAGCAAAACGAAAAAAACATGTGAGTTAAGTGACCATTTTGACATTAATTTAAATAGCTTCGAGGACAGACTTCGAATGAGAATATTCGTGTTTTTTTCCTATCCGATTAATTGCAATTAGCACTCAATACCAACACTGATTCGACATCCATTTCACTGTATAATAATAAAAAAATTAAAATAGAATCATCATTTTAACAATTACCCTTGGATCAAGTTTTGATTGAGATGTAGACTGCTGGCCATAAGCACTACCTCTGGAGCTTGCTGAAGCATTTGCACTGCTGCTATCACCACCATACCTCTAGAAGTTAGGAAAATCAGTCCAGGTTAAGGAAAGAGAAAAGCTATAAAAAGGTGGCCGAATATTACCTGCTGTTGGTATTGTTGAGGTGCTCCAAGGGCAGCACCCCCTTGTTGTCCGTACACTGAATAGCCCTTCAAATGAAAAGAATAAATGGAAAATCTAATTGGCATAAAAAACGATTCAACAGTAAAAATGCTTCATATAGACGCTCTAAAGAGGTAAAAGAAAAGCGGCATTAACACCTATACACAGCTGTGATTCGTTGCTAATAAAAATAATCAGTACAATGTGACGCGCAGTAAGTGGTAAGTAAATTTACACCATGCAAATATAATACAAATATGGAAGAGACCAAAACCGAGACTGCTATACTGCATTTGTTTAATCGATCACCAGATAGAAAGACATGACATTCAAGGAATAATCTAGATACTTAAACTGTAGGAGTTGGAAAGCAAGTTTGCCTTAACACTCACTTAATTTACGTCCGCATGGAATCACAGCACGCTACGCTGCTGTGAATGGAAAGGACGCTTGACAAGAATCTAATCTGCTAAGTACTAGAAATCATTAACCTTCTTTCTATTACCATTTCTAAGCAAACAACTGTAATTCTACATATGGAGGCTGTAATGTAGGCTGAAGCATGACCACCTATAAATTATCGATGGTTTCATAAACAGCCACCAATTTCGGTCTAATGAATACCACCTAAAAACAAACATCGGTGGATGGACATAGACCATGCAATAGAATAAAGCTAGAACTGACGTTAAAGGCAGAGATATATCTAATCTGACAAGAACAGGTCAATTATATGAATATCCTGTTCAGTTAGGTTGCAAGAGATATCTAAAAGATGTTCCTAGTCAAAAGACAAAGAAAATGTTAGAATTAGATAAGCAATATAGCATGTCTGTAGAAACAGTCCCACCTCAATAGGCAGGACATCAGATAGCAACACAATCGGAAGTTGAACCAGTTCAGTATTTGCTAATACCAAATTGAGTAAACTGAAGATATTATTTAGAATCTTCTAAATAAGACTTACTGATTGGCCTTGAGTAGACTGCGCTCCGCTTTGTTGCCCGTAAATACTGCTGCCTGCGTAACTTTGCTGAAACAATAACAAGCGATATAGGTTATCTACAGAAAAAGATTAAATTTTTAAACATTCCAAGTTCATTAAAATGAAGTAGACCAAATCACCTGCATTTGATAGTAGAGCCAAACTAATTGAAAATACCCATTCTACTAACCCATAAAGGGAGGAAGTCATTACAAAACTTGCATAGTGGCTAAAACCGTGGCCGCATGGTATTCCCCTTTATTGAAATTAGCAGCAGAAAACGCTTTTCCTAAATATACCTTAAAAATTTGTCAATCACTAAATGCACGTCGATCACCGTTTAAGTAAATGACGAGAGCTTCCAAGTTAAAATTCTTTACTCACCTGCTGTTGACCTGGTTTACCAGAAGTACCGCCTGTAGACTGAGCAGCAGCGCTTCCATATCCTTGATAATAGCCCTAAAACGATAAAAAACTATATACTAATAATACGGAGTTTGGAAAAATACATTAAAAGCGACTATTTAGTTCTGTACATCCAATTATATGTAAAGAGGCTATTAGAAGAGCACTGTAAACATGTCAATTACTCACGCCTTGACTTGTTTCTTGACTTTGCTTTGTTACAGTTTTAGCGCCTTGGAATTCACTTTCATAACCCTGTTTACAAGAAACAGATTAGGTTAGTTTACAAGACTCCCAAAAACGAACACTAATAGAGACAGTACGAAGAAATGTACACGAATATCTCACAACAAAACCAAGTTACTCCGTAAGATTGGCTTTAAAGCTAACATTTCTTGACGAAAAAATTCAATTTAAGGCACGATTATGATAATCCCAGTAATAACAAAAGAATCAGAACTCGATAATTAATAAAAGCATAAGCTAGACTTAATTATGTAGACCACACAAACTACCATGCAAGAATCATATACCTTAAAGAGAACAAGGCTAGTGAAATGCCAGTGTTAAAAATCGTACCTGTTGGAATTTAGGAGCGCTAGGATTTGTTCCAGGGCCGGTAGCACTACGTTGGCCATAAACATCAGTACCGTAGCTCTGCATGGGAAAAATTTATATAAGCAGTAAAACAAAACGCGTGAAGAACGAGAGTACAAAGTTAGAAATTACCTGTTGCTGACCAGGCTTATTGTAACTACCAGCACCGCCAGATTGATCACCACTACCGAAACCCTTGGAAAATCTCTGTGGAAGGAAAGAGAAGTTATTCGAAGTAAAAAATTTATATATTTAACTCTTAACTTCATTAAGCATTCCTTAACGAATACGCTATTAATCGATTTTTTTCACTTGAACTTTAAGCTTTTCACAAGCTAAATAAAGGTATAATTCGCAGATCTGTTCTCTGCTCTGCTTTGTATAATACACGTATTCATGACCAATTCTCAAAAGCACTAGTAACAAAAATCCCATTTGTACAAAGTTTAATTCGTTCAATATATTGAAAATATTGCTAAACATAAACCGACAGATCGTCCAAATTTCCAACTGTCGGAGTTGACAGGTTAGTGAATCAAGACTTAGGACCTTAATACTATGACCAACTTGGTTAGTATTAAAATGGATCTATGACTGATGAATTTCACTTACAAAAGCACAAAAGTACAATTACCTACAACTTAAATCCAATGACCTGATAGCAATCTTTATTGAAAAATCATACTTTCAATAACCATTAGTATTCGACTCAGGTTAATTCTAACCTTGGAAGTCTTTCTAATAAACAGATCGATTATAAGCAAGTTATTACAAACTAACCTGCGAAGATTCACCAGATTGTTGCTGCTGACGACCATAAAGGGTATTACCAAAACCACCACCATAGCCTCCCTAAGAAAAGTTAAAAAATTTCATTAAATCCTTCGATGTCACTAAGGCTCCCCTTATTTATAAATATTGGTACAAAACCCACTTGTTGCGGTTTTAGAGATTGAGATGGTGGAGGATTGGAACCACGAGCAACGAATTCACTGCCGTAGCCCTATATTATAAAGTGCAATAAATTACTAACATACCAAGGCGAGACCGATTAAAGGGGAAATCGCTTAATACAATAGTTTACGATTTAACAATGAAACATGAAATTTTAAAGTTAGGTCGTTGGCCAGTTTGCTAGTCAAACAACTATTTAACATACAAAACTTATATAAAAACAAGGATAAGGTTTTAATAGAATAATCTTACTGTTTGTGGGGCCTTTTGCGATTGTTGTTGAGATGGTGCTGAACCACGATTGCCAAATTCGCCACCATAACCCTAAGATGAAAAGTTAATAAAATTTAAGTCAACAGCGAAAATTCCACTTCGATCTAATAAGTTCCGTTAACCTCAAACACACGCCACACAACCACCAAATTTCCAAATATTGCGAAAATTCATTTATTCTCGAATCCCCATACGAAAAGATTACTAACGAACTAAAAACGGACTTTGAATAGCCACAGACATATTTATTTATTTCAAATGGCAGGCTTTATTATATTTATCATTAGCCCATAAACTTTGACTTCAGCTTCCCCCAAGAGTGGGGGGTACATTTATAGCAGTTCATTAGCTGCCTTCTTGCTTCCCAGTATCTCTGGCTTCCCGTCATTGTCTTTAGAGCTGGACACAGACATAAAAGTTAAGTAACTAGTTACTTAAGTGTAAAAATGATTACAGATAATCGTAGAAGAAAGCATTAAACAGAAAATTTACGACAAGATCTTTTAGCAGATGAAGGCAAATATAAAAGTAAATTATTGAAATTAGAAGGAAAACACGAGTTTGTGAAATGCAGGCTCTTTAAATAAAGCATGAAATAAAGTTGCGGTCACAAATATGGAATATTGAACTGGTAGTCATTTAGGGGGGAAACCGTACCGTTAGGAAACAGGAAATTATGGCGAATAAACAAGAATCAAAATAATTCGATTGATTTACACCACTGAATCTGAAAATTTTCTATATTTATTAACAGACAGATTAGAATTTCACCAATTGGTACTAACACTAAGATTGTGGAAATAACTTAAGCAGTGCATTTTCTTAACGAAATCTTCAAACTCAAGGGAACCATAAGGTGTAAAAATGAAAACCATTGAAATTTACCTGCCCATAAGCATAACCCTAAATGCGTTTAAAATCCATATGAACTCTTGTCGATAAAAATATTACACAAAGTGAAAGAGATAATCTAACTTGAGTTGTAGCGCCAGTAGATCCTGACCGCCTACCAACACCAGGCTGACCAAAAGTTCCTCCTAAACCATAGGGACCCTCGAGAGAAGAAAGTAAAAAACTCAATCAATCATTTTCTTCGTCCAATTATACGACCAATGGTGATTAAATAGAACAAAAACCATTTTGGCAACCACCCATACAATAAAAATTTAATTTGTCGCAGGATAAAGTTTAGATTGCTTTTAACTAACCTGACTTTGTTGACTAGGCTGATCAAAACGTGAACGAGATGGTTGGCCACTCTCTTTTCCACCATCAAATCCTTGATAAGCTGAAGACCTGAATCGCGAACCAGGTGAATCTTGGGGCTTGGGGATAGATTTATCTGCTTCTCCCGTAGCTGAGCTAAACCTAGATGGCTTCGATCCACTGCCAGCATAGGGTCCTAATGACTTCGATTGAAATTCATCAGCACGACCTCCTGGAGGATATCTACCAGGGGTCGAACTATCTCCACCTTTCGATTGGGGGGCTGATGGTGGATAAGATGACCCATAAGTGTAGCCATAACCGCCACCAATAGCAGGTTGAGAGAAGGAACCCTTATCACTACTTCCTCGACCTCCACGAAAACCTCCACGATAACTATCGCCTTGGTAACCACCACCACTGCGGAAATCAGAGCTAAAAGCAGGTTGTTTTGAAGGCGGAGGTCCAGTAGAAGGGTCGGCACTGTCCGAATCATCAAATCGTCGTCTTTCGCCGGGTTGATAGTAACCATAGCCACTACCAGGACCATAATTTCCGCCATAGCCACCACGTCCACCTCTCGGATAGGAATCAGGACCTCCACGACTGTATCCACCCCGATTGTAAGAATCACTTGGAGGACCGTAGGATGGTGGGCCACCGTACTGGAGTCCACCAGGGGGAAATGGTGGACGAGAAAATGCAGAACCACTATAAGGGCCACCCCCACGAGGATTACGCTGAAAACCACCACCAGGAGGGCCCCTACGGTAATCTAACTCATTGTCGTAGCGAACGCCGCCAAAACGACCACTATCACGACCACCACGGCCAAAATCATCACGATATCGTGAACCGAAACGACCCCTATCATCTCCCCGATCACCTCGATAGTCGAATCGCATGCCACTGAAAACAAGAGACAATATTTTCCGCTTCAAGATACTTTTTACCGAATTGAAAAAAATGAACTGAAACTTACCGAGATTCTCTACGGTCATAATCCCCACGACCTGATGATCGACTATAGCTGTCATAACGTGATCGGCTATCGCGATGTCTATCATCACGATGACTTCTTGAATGGTAACTTGAATGCTCAGGCGAGTCAGCCCTTGAACGTCTATCTTGACTTCGACTAGCTTTACCCTCCACATTGTACTCCTTTACCAGCTTCTCTGCTTCCTCACGTTGTAATTCAGTGAAAATTACTTCGTCAAACATGCTTGCAGGATCATCGGAAACAGGTTTTGGGATCTCAAAATTAGCTAGAAGGAGAAATGTCGGAAAAACAGCATCAGCAACTGCGTGGAACTTTTAACCTACGACTGAATCCTCTTTTGTATTATAGTATTTAACCTTAGCCCAACCCATTCAATTGTTAACTTACCGTTATGCTATACGGATTAAGATATATGTAAGAAGTCGGTAAACTCTAATAACATGCTTTCACCAACATCATCATTAATGGAATTTTCACTTTAGCAGTTATCTCAGTCCAAATTAATAGGAAGAGACATCATTAAATTGTCAACAGCAATAATCTAACTATAAAAATAAAATAATGGAAATTCCCAAAATAGGTAGCAGGGGTCCAGTCAAACAGATTTTAAAACTACCTTTCATTTCGAGTACAGCCTTTTCGGGAACTTCTTTTCCCTCTTCTTTGGTACGCTGTTCAATGCGCCTTTTGAATTCATCATCCGTCGGTACGATTACAATTGCCTTGCGTTGAAATCCATCAAAAGGGCGCATTTTCCGACGTTGTGCTGATGGAAAGACATTTGTCTGTTCGATCCCGACCCGACCAATGAGCGGAAATAGGGGGAAAATTAGTCCAGTTGAGAGAAATCCCAAAGCTGATAACTAGCAACCTCTATAATCGAGTCCTTAAGTTGACTTAAAATGTGTCAATCGGAAACATCTTATCCATGGTTTTAAAAACCACCAAATTAAATAAGAGGTCGTTTATTCGTCTTCAAGCTTAGACCAGAAAAAATCCGAAATCCCATATTTAAATAGAAACGATGTACCATTGGTTTCAAATCGGCTCATGAATAAAGCGCGTAATAATTTGGTCGATTGAAACCAAGAAAGTTAAAATTATTCAAGAAAAAGGTGGAAAATCGAAAGCCCTACATCTCCATTGTATTTATGACGCGAGTAACATTTACTCCCATTTATTTTCATTGTTTCAAATTTAGCCAAAAAATGGACTCATTTCCATATCAGCGCATCAACCCAAAGGTCATCAGATATTTTGCTATTCATCGGCTAATTGGTAATTACAGCCAATTAGCTCGAATAAATGGCTTCAGCTTAATCCATAGTTTTATACACATTCGGGGCAAGTAAATCGGATCAAGAAAAAGCGATATCTAAACCGATACAGCCACACCCACAACTGGCAACAGAAATTCCACCCGGGGCCATAAAAGCAAGACTTCGATTAGTAGTTCAAGGAGGGAAGCCGATTCAAATTGGCTTGAAATATCCTGGAAATGGGGAAGCAAATAATAACGTGAATGAAACAAATAAATGTATCAAAATTGATACTATCATTTTCAAACGAAGACACATTCCTAAATTTTGAAGTCCAAAGTGTTCAAGTACTTCGCAGATAATGATAACTGGAGAATTAATCGCTTTGTAAGGGTCATTTTCCGATATTATTATTAGTCCACAGTACACTAAATGATGAAAGCAATTCATCCAGATCGTACGATTCAAGTGGCCTCAATTACCGAATGAGTCGAATAACCGAACAAGCACAAAGAACTAGGATAAATCAAATGATTTAACTTAGAACATCGATTCACCCCAAAACAAGTAAAAATGTAAATGGAACTAGTGTCTGCGTGGCCGAATCATTGCAAGCATAATTTTAATTTTGAAACCTGTATAAGAAAAAGCAAAGAAGCAGACAATCAAAATAAAAACTGACCTGATCGAGAATGTAATTGCGCTTGCGTTTGCACGCAATCGATATGATCTTATTAAGACACTGGGTAGCTTTATTGATTAGCACATCCCAGCGTCCGGAGTAGTTTCTCTTCCTCGACAAACCCATCACCTGAAATAAAAAGGAAAAATAAAAATTGAATTATTAGATCCTATTTAAAACTAAAGAAACTAACTTTCATCTTGTCCAGGATAAGATTTGTACCGAGAACATTGAAGTATTTTTCTGGATTATCTTTCAGTAAATTCAAAGAATAGTAAGTTTTCCCACAGCCAGGTAAACCAATCATCATGATAACTTCACAATCTTCCTTCTTAGCAGGTGGCAGCAAACCACGAACTCTCTCCTCCACAGGAACAGTTCCAATCAACACAAAATTATCGTCTTCAGGAGGGAACCAAGCAGGTTGATCATTTTGACCGAAATTAACGGAAAATTCCACATTCTTAACATAGACATGTGGGAAAAAGGCGGCATTTTCACCCACTGATGACTTCTCAAATCGGAAACATTCTCCTTGGTTAGTGCCATTGACAGAGAAAGTCATTATAACTTCTGAATCTGTGAATTCCAAAAATGCCCCGACAACATCCCCTTCTTTGAAAGGAGATCCATAATCCTCAAACTTCCCATCAGTAGATTTCTTTCCTGTACCTCCGTATCCAAAGGAATTTAATTCTTCACCAAGGGTTAAACCAGATTTATCCATTGACCAACCAACTCGAAGAACATGAGTTACATCGTCTATGGATTCGTCGGTAGAATCAATGAAAAGTTCCTTGACAATCTTAACTTCAAAAAAGGTTTTCCCACTCTTAACACCGTAATTTGCACGGGTTCCTGCCCACATGAGAGCAAAACCCTCATCTGTCATTGGTTTTGCAGAATAGCAATCCTGGTTAATAACCAAACTCAAGTCGGAGTTATAAAAATCAAGAAAAACATCCTCTCGGTTTTCCCAACCATCGATTTCATCATCAACAGTAAGACTACTTTCACGAGTCCTTCTAGGTGATCTGCGTCTTTCTCGGTCCGATGACCTGTCTCGACCGCCTCTTGGTGATCTATCTCTAGAATAATGGCGCCTTCTCTCTCTCGAACGATCCCGAGAGGTTCTATCCTTTTCTCTAGAGTGGCCACGATGCCTCTCGGAAGACTGATCATCCGTGGTTTTTTCAGTAGCATATTGCTTATGTGAAGATTCATTATCGGATTTCGGTCTTTGTTCCGATGACTCGTCCTTTGATTCATCATTGCTTTCTTCGGTAGCCTTTTCGATCGCAGGTTCGTTGGTAAAATCGGGGTTCTGGGGATCTTTGTTAGCATCAGCTGCAATATCGGCAGAGGAATCCGGTTGTTGAGCAGAAGTATCAAAGTTGGAATCATCCTCAATTTTCTCCTCTTCAGGTTTTGAGATATCATTAGAAGAATCTCCACCTTCTTTTTCGTCCACTGCTGAGTCACCATTAGCAGGAATCTAATACTTATACAAGTTAAAGAAAGGAAACTACCAATGATGCTTCTTCAGTAGAAACCACACTATCTGCCTCAGCAGCTGCGACATTTTTATTAGGGCTTTTGACTAAAGAAACCACTAAAGATTATAAATCACGACAAACCTTCAGCAAGAGATTTCGCGAAGTCTTCCAATGTTTTGTCTTCTTTGGTTAGTGCTTCAGAAAGACGCTTTAGAAGCACTGACTTAACTCCTAGCGGATTGAGGCCACGACGACGTAATTCATCACGCAAATCATTAACTTTCAATGACGAAGGATCAAAGCCTTTATCCATTTTCAACGATAAATGGGCGGCCATAACAATTAAAACAACATAAGATTTTTCATAATCAAAATACATTTTTAAAATTTAATTTTTATTAGATAAAAAGCCAAGAATAATTTAAACTAATCCATTGTCGCTTATTTATTTGTAAGGACAATTTATTTTTCAATTTGCTATAACTAGTTAACTCTCTACTTTATCCTATCCATTTCCATGAATGAATGCATGTGATTTATAGTAAAATTGCCATTTTGGAATGCAAGCATAAAATGTCTCAATCAAAAAAAATTAATTAAGATGGATACTTCTTGAATGCAGAGTGAAACATTCACAAAAGTAAATTCTAAAATTAATCATTATGTAACAAATTTATTGATTATTTTTTAAGAAAAGATCAACATTAAAGTGCCAAGAGCCTTAATCAAGAACTGGGATTTGTGGCCATTTTTAAAGTTCTGCAAGTGGGAATAAGTTCAAAAATCATATTTAAATTTGAGATGATATTACAGCAAATTCTGATCACAGTTTTTAGCCCTAAATAAAAGACATGATAATTAAAAAACGGACCACTAAAACCAGTTATGTATTCCTTAATATTTTCACGAAATTATGATTGTGTGTCCATTTCACTAACAGTCTTTTTAAGAAATACGGCTTTTGAAAATGACAGAGATTTCATTTACAAGATATATTTAAGTCTTCCAAGTTTATCATAATATTGTGAATACGAAAAGCAATCAATAATAAAAATAGGGATATTAATATCATAAGTATATATATATTACTCATTATTTCAATAAATATTTAACAATTTTAAAACAAAATACAGTGTAATGAAAATTGCTCTCAGAAAATAGGCTAATTAATTTATTTTTATCAAAAAACAAATTTGCAGATAATTTCTTTAAATACGCGAAGGAGCTTTTGACCTTGAGTTTATTAGGTCGTGAATAAAATGCGCGTATTATAGTCTTGACATTTACATGGAACTTGAATTTACTTTTTTATATATCACAGCATTCGATTGAATTGTCATCAACAACTTCTAAGAGATGTCTTCAATGCTTCTCTCTCTTAACTGCTGTAGGCAAATAAAGTCTCAAGAAGAAAATCATTGCAAAATTGAAAAGATTACCGATAACAATTTACGGAGTAGAAAATCTAGGCATCAATCAAGACGTTCAGTTCAGAAAATTCTTCTTCTTGGTACTGGAGAAAGTGGAAAAAGCACATTTCTCAAGCAGATGCGTATTATTACTGGAAAATCTTTTTCCAATGAGGAATTACAATTTTTTAAGTGCATCATCTATGACAATATCTATAAAGGGACACTATTTCTTATTCAGGTTTGTTTTTACTTGTGGTTATGTTTACTAACAGTATTTAATTCATTCAATTTGATAGACAATTCATTTTCGCAATGCTTTGTTTTGTTTTTTCTCTAATTTAATTTCTTTAAATATTTTTCAATATTTCATCACCTTTTTAGTTTTTTTTCTTATAAGTTTATTTTAGGCAAAATTTGACATCATGCTGCGACGACGTAATACCATGATTTGAGATTCTTAATACGTAATAAATGTGTCATTCTATAATTCGTGGCTGAAACACTTTTATTTTCACTAATCCTATTAAAAGTTTCATTAGCTTCACTAAAATTGTTCAATTGCTTCATTAATTCGCTTCCGGTGGAAGATAATCGTCGAAATATTATTCTCGAAACAATTAAGGGTGAATTATTTAGTCGCCGTTATGTTTGTTTAAGTTCCGCTTTGTGGATACCTGAGTTTTAAAATCTGAGCTTCTTTGTTAATTGAACTCTTAATAAATCTATAATAATAATAATGTCAGTTTTCTATCTCGTATACACGCTGCTTTTCTAAGGGAACTTATTACGACCCAATTGGATAATAGTTATCGTGTTATTTGATAGTTGTAAAAATCTGACAATTTTGTAAGAAATCAAAATAAAAACATCATGCTAATACCTCTAAAATTCCTTTCTGAATTAGAATTTTCAAGGTTCACAAGATTTCTATATTGCTACCACTGACAAAAACTTGAATACTTTATCCGATTAAGTATGACCATGTTATATTACAAGTGTCTGATTTCCAGAAACCCTTCCGCGTTTTTATTTCTTAATCTGGCACTCTTTCGGGTGCACCAACGTATTTTTTCCTTTTAGACGTGCTTTAATAATATACAATCTAAAATTTTTACCTAATTTCACGATCGAATCAAAATATTCTTCATATTTTATTTTACAACCGTTTGTAAAGAGTCAAGAATGTGGGCATTTATTAACACGCAAAGTTTTATAGTAGAGACAGTGATGGATCCTTGCTCAAACTGATATAAAATTATTATATATTGTCACAAATTACATAATGGAGTTTAGGGTATTCTTTTCCCGTTTATAGGGTTCGTCTCAACTTTCATGTATTTCACTTACAGGAGGAATTCGTTTCTATAAAAGCCAAGATGGCAAAGTGTTTGTTTTCTTGCATGACATATCGGTAATTCGTATTCTTTTTAGTTTTTGAAAGAGTTTGTAGGACAGAGGGACTCAAAGACTTTAAGAATGTTGACTACATACATAAAGGAAAAATTTGTTAGCTAACTGTGTGTATCACAAATGCTAATTAGCCGATAATACACATAATTTCGTGCACGACAGGGAATCTTCTTTGTTATTTAAATCTCATTTTATTATTAACTTCCTTCTTGATTTTTTTTCGAATTAACATCTTTAACGCTTTCAGGGCAACTTCAGGAGTGCCGTGTAGCATGAGAAGCGAATTGAGCTTAAGTTAAATTAAAGTGTTGTGAATTTTAAAACTATATTAGCATTAAAAGTTATCTATTTGGAGATAGACTAGAAATCTCACTAAATCTCTCAGATGTAAGGCCGCATTTGCTTAAATACAGGCGTAATTATTCATATCATTAAATTCCTTTCAATTAAAATACCCCGCTGAATTTTTATGGAACTTTAAACATTAGTAAATAAATTTTTATTAATGCAAACTGAATTTTAACCATTTAGTTCATATGGTTCCCCTCTCCCTCTCTCCTTCTCCTCTAATCCTTTCTCTAATTATTAATTATCAAAAGCTGATGATAAATGTTAGGTTGAATAAATGTCTCTTTTCCGGTACATTCCTGATTAAATCGCTACAATTATTGATAGACACCTTCCCCTAACATACAGCTTATGCAAAATGGAGTTAACGGCAAAAAAGCAACTGCAAGTATGTCACCCAGAAATTTGAAGGAGCTTCAACTTAAATAAAAATGCGACTGACCTGATGATAATGAGCTCCTTTGAAGTAGGTATTCACTTAATAGGCCGGCTCTCAATTCAGCTGCCTAATTTCCTCCATGCAAAAACCTTTTTTTCGCTCTTTCATTTGAAATCAATCAATGGTTAATTATGATGATGTCATTAAAGTACAGTAATCTCTCATTTATTTAACAATAAAATTTGAAAGTGGGCATTCAAGTAGCTCTCAGGGATTAAAATGTCAAATTAATTGTATCTTTTCTTGGCATGGAATTATTAGAAAAAAAAATTGTTCTTAGAGTGCTCATATACGTTAACCAACGAGGGCAGAAATTCCACGTTACTTGTTGACTCAGACTAACTCATGTTAGCTACTTTAGAGATGTGATAAAGCTAATGGTTGAATTTGGAAGAATTTTTTCTCCGCAATTCCATCCACTAATTGCACTTGCGAGTTTTATGCACAGTGGGTGCAATCTAATATGCGCTATGCCTGATTTGTATGTTATAACATTTTTGTTTTAGTTAATTGACTAATGGTTCACTTCAATAATTTATTTCAAGGCTTCATATAGTTTTCTTAAATAATTTATCTTACCCAAAAAATGATATCTCGTTCCAATCTGATTGATGGCGGTTTGATACATTGTGTTTTGTAGCGGATTGCTACCTTAGTAAAGCCTGACTGACTCAGAAATCTCTATGGCAGATTCTCTAACATCATCTAGCTAGACTCCCAGAACCAGCTAAGCTATAGCCCAGCTATAAAGGAAACAAACGCGTAGCACGGAGCACGTTTACTCAGTGAGTATATTACCGATTAAGTGTGCGCGCATGGAGCTATTCATGATCAGGATGGGGGATTAGGTTAAACAGAGGTTAATGATTGGTCACTGTTTGTACGGTCGCTCCACACAGAGTTGTACGGCCCCACCTCCCAATCCTGGCGAGCAGACATGCAGGCATACGATGACGAACAACGCGATAACGTGTACCACAGTTTTCTTCTGGCTTGAGTTTTTTGATAGTTGCTTACCTATCAAATAGACGAAACAGAGTTGTCTTCTAATTGGTCATTTAGGAATGATAAACATTTACATACATTATTT